TAGCGAAGGACTATATCCGCTGTGTGTCGTCCACAACGTAGTGTGTGCAGTGCGGCGAGTTGGCCATGGATTAGTTTATAGTGAAAACAGGGTTGTGTAGCTTATTCCAGGTCAGGTCAGGTTTACTAAGGGAAATATAGGCCAACGCCGTTGAACTCCCTACTGATGCACAGCAGGAAAGAAATGCATCGGTTCAGTGGAAAATTTCAAGAGGTCGTTTCCATAATTGCGGGTGAAAGTCGTTAATTTGGAAAAGTACACATACATGGCTACTCACTTGTTTCAAGTAGTATAATCATATGTGGTGATGTAGCTGACACGGGCCAGTAGGCGTAACTGAGCAAAAAGAGCAGACAGTGAAGAAAAAACTCCTTAGGCATGACTCAAAAATTACAGAAATTGGAGTGTCTTTTGTGAGATTTTTAGGGGAAAAAGCTGCCACTCATGGGAGGAAAATGTGTGCGAGGTAGGACCGGCCGGCTGCTGAGGATGTTTGCAGCTAGCCAGGGGAGCCCATCGCGTTTAATATCTTCATCCGAAGGGTCACATTAGGGGGAGACCGCAGAGTCACGAGAACATCCCGAAGGGCCGGAGGTGCGACCGTATTTCTCTCTTGTTGTTTTCCTTGTCTGCTGTTAAATTGACGAAAGCAGAGGAACATGCCACGGTCGTCAGCCGTCGTTTGTGGGTCGATATGAGGAAGAATGATACAATGCCGAGTAGCCTAGGACCACAGGTGTGGTAGAGACGATTGCCAACGCGATCGTTGCAGTTCGCACAGAGAAAAGAAGACAACGCGTGGGTATTTACTTATGGCGATGATAAATTTACTGAAAAATAGCTAGTAGCATGTTTATAGCATTAAGTGTTCGGTGTCAGACCAAACTGAGCTCATGGTAGTTTCAGGTGACGTGGTGGTTCCGAACAGTAATCTTCGCTCAACCGGACCTTGTGAAATGACAGAGTCAGGACGATCATAAGCAGGCTCGATCGCAGTGGCTGACAAGCCTAAATCGTCTGTCTACACGTGCCACGCACGACCTTGCATCCGTATATAGTAACAGGTTCGCATAGAAACCTGAAGTACTAGGTCCAGAACCCCTCAAAGTGGGAATGGGAGTGCCATAGAGGCCACATTCAGGAGCCATTGCAGTGCGGCTGTCTGTCCTGAGAGAACGCAATCAGTTGGGTACCACTCCCCCCCACCCGCCCTTCCAAACTATAACGTTTAGCACACTGTGATGGGATCAGGCGCGTCAGAATTTTTTACACTGACGGATGTCTTTAAATGCCACGGGGAAGGATTGGTCCAGGGGTGACCTCGCATGCGGTTTCCTCTTTCATGTACGAGTACTCTGTCCGAGCCTGCTGGTCAACTGATGCCACTATTGGCGTTCCGAGGAGCTTACGCATAGCTGTGGCACTATGCCTCCTCCCCATGTGTGAAATTTGTAAGGGAATGGGAAATCCTTGCACAACCCTAATTAACCAGCGCGTTTACAGCGTGGCCAGGAACACGCGGTGGTAAGTACCTACTCAAGGGACGCTAGACTGTTTGCGTTCAAAAATAATCGGGCTCTTGGTCCCCGTTCGATTTGTTCAATTTCCCACCAGTCTTTCGTCCAGGCAGCATCCAGTGATTTTGGGCTATAGAACCGGGATAATCAAAATCCATCTTTGAGTTACTTCCATTTTACTGTTAAACCGTTTAGTTAACTTCCAGTGCACTGTGAATTATACACAGCAAACAGGTAAGATTGTTCTCCTAAATATTCTTCTCTGTCTGACTTATCCGACTCCCCGCAACCCCCTAAGCGTCACATGGAAATTCCGTATGAGGGCACTTTGGTTGAGACACCTTCCAGTTACCAAGTGTCTCTACGTCGGAACTCTACATGCCCACTTCCATTACGAATGCTGCAAGCAAGCAGGTAGCACACAAGAGGGCAGTTATCGTTACTTTTCGTGGTCATAGATGTGCAGTAATGACTGTACCCTATGAATACTGCAACTTCCTGTGCATGTATCACCCGCTTCT